ATAAGTTCATGAGTTTATGTTTGAAATTTTTATAATGAATCTAAACGACGAATTAATTAATAATATTTTAATCGATTCTGACTATGAATTTCCTGATGAAATTGACGATTCCGATTTAGACCCGGACTTCACTATTGGAAAAAATGATCATGATAGTGACATTACCCATATATCAGGTAATATTGTTATTATAATATGTATATTATGTACTTACAATATCAATTTATTTTAGAAAGTGAATCAGAATCCAATGATTACACTAATGATTTACAACATGATACACTTATATTACCTGGCCGTAAACCAGGACGCCCAAGAAAAGATGTACCTATGACAACAGATCTGCAAAGAATATGGCGTAAAGATGATGATGTTTTGAACAACTACACATACAATCCTAATTCTGAAGTGACAGGTATAAATCCCGATTTATTTGACTTATTAAAGGATGGTAAACCTTTTGATTTTTTCAAATTAATTGTTGATGACATAATTGTTGAAAAGATTGTCAAAGAAACTAATAACTATGCTCAACAAAAAATCAACCTAGTCAGGTTAAAATTTTATTTTATATTATTTTCTTTTATTGTAAAATATTTTATTATGAAAAAGTTGATATTTTTTTTTTTATATTGTTTCTTATGCTCTATGTAAAAATAATAATTCAATTAACTGTTATGATTCATTATATTATTATTTATAAGTTATATGTGTAAGTTTACTAATGTGATAATTACAAATATAAAGACTGCATTGAAAATAGTCTCTTCAGATGAATACCTAGTCAGGTTAAAATTTTATTTTATATTATTTTCTTTTATTGTAAAATATTTTATTATGAAAAAGTTGATATTTTTTTTTTTATATTGTTTCTTATGCTCTATGTAAAAATAATAATTCAATTAACTGTTATGATTCATTATATTATTATTTATAAGTTATATGTGTAAGTTTACTAATGTGATAATTACAAATAAAAAGACTGCATTGAAAATTATCTTTTTAGATGAATACCTAATCAGGTTAATTCTTAATTATAATTATTAATTATACTATATATAGTATATACAGAAAATTCAAATTTTATACAACTATATTTATTTACATTTATGATAGCAAATGGTTCTATATAAAAATAATATTTTTGAGATCTGTAATGGAATCTCAGTTAAAATAAAAAAAAGTTTTTGAGATCTCATATTGAATCTCAGTGAGATGGTTATTTTCATAACGATCAAAAAATCAATCCCCAGTGCCATGAGACACAATATGAGATCTCACGTCCTAAAAATCCAAAACCCTGTCTAAACTCTTGTATTTTATGTCACTAAAATAACTGTAAAATTTCAATATCAAATAATAAAGTAAAGTACCATGTCATTTTTGAAAAGTTTGCTGTAAAAACTTGTGGCAGCCACGTAAAAGTTTGTGAGACCCCAAATCGGGTCTCATGGCAGCCAACTTGTTAAATTGTATAATATAATATATACTCCACTATATTACGTATCATAATATTACAAAGTTTTGTTTTCAATGCATTAATTAATTATCAACATTTGATTATAATAATGTATAATTACACGGCGTTGTGTATAGGCTATTTAGGTACATTTATATAATGAAAATCAAATTAGATGACTATAATATTATGATTTATGATCATTAATCACCAAATAATTTCAGCAATAGGTAATAAATATTTATTTTATATTAATTTATGTATTTTACATTATACTACAAAGTACCTAATGTTTCACGAAAGTGGCTGCAATATAGTGTAGGTAAGTATTTCCTGTATTTATTGAAGCGTCCTTAACTCTGAGTGTTTATACTGAAATAAATGTTTGTACTAGTATAATGGTTTTGATGTACAAAAATGTGACTTAATATAAGAAAAATAAGCGTAAAGCCATGTATTTATAGGGTAGTACTCGGGTATAATAGTGGTGGGACCCAAGTCTGCAGCCCCCTAACACTCATTTCGCTTATAATGCGTCCCCTATAACTAATTTTTCAAACTTTACTCAGCTGAGACATAGAAGCTTAATCAATAGATATAAGATGTCGATGGGCTAAAACATTCAAAAAAAATTACCACAAAAAAAAAATAGAAAATTACCTAAAAAATGTTCATAGACAAAAGGTAGTAAACATTTAAATTTTAAGTTTAATTTACAGTAAAAAAAATATATGAAATTATTAAAAAAAACCGGCCAAGTGCGAGTCGGGCTCGCGCACGAAGGGTTTCGTACCATTATCAGCTATAAACATGTTGGTAACACTGCTTATATTATATATTCTAGGATTTTTAGTATTTGTAGTTATAATGTCAACAGAAATACATAATCTGTGAAAATTTTAACTTTCTAACTTTCATGGTTCATGAGATACAGCCTAGTGACGGACGGACAGCAGAGCCTTAGTAATAGTGTCCCGTTTTACCGTACGGAACCCTAAAAATTAAAAAGTGAAAATGTCAGTTTTCATTGTTTGTCAAACCCACCAATAATAATAATACAATTATATTTTTGAACAAATTTTCTTTAAAATCTAAAATTCAAGAGAAATTCCCAACGTTGTACAAAAACTACAAAAAATGAACTATAATATGAAAAAATACCTTAAAATATAAAAATGATGTTACAAAACAAAAAAATGCAAAATAAAATTAGTATATTCTGAATGAAGGGAGCATGAAACGAATTTTTAGCTAAAATAGCATTTTATAGAATCCATGGAAAAAAATGCCAAAGTCATTAACAACATCCTATCTCCATCAATCAAATTAACTTTTACTTCATTAAAATGTATCATTTTATGTTTATTCATACATATATTTTTTTTAGTTAAAAAAAAATATTGATAAAAATTGACCTGATGAGCCTCGCAACTCATTTGTTATTATATATTTAACATTTTGTACCCTTAACACCTAATTCCTAAAAGAAATATAATATAATTTTGAATTTTCGATTTAATTTTGTTAATTTATAAAATGTAAGTGTTCTACAACTATTAAATCCTAGGATTAATGAAAAATATAATTCATGTGTCTAACTATATTTGTACCAATTAAAATCAATTTAACATACACTATAGTATATAGGTAGGCATTATGATTCTATATAATATGTATATTTTTACTAACTATTAACAAAATAAATTAATATTTAAAGATTGAATTTTTTTGTTCAATAAATTAATGAATTGTTTAGACATTACATGGAACACTCAAAAGAAAATGAGTAGTAACACCAGTACCCCTTGCCATTTTGTGCCTCTATAACCCCTGATATAGTAATGCAGCAGCGTAGGAGGGATTTAAATATAGGTACAGTAATTTTCCACCTTTTTTCACCTCGTGCAATCTATTTATAACCTACGTTATCCACACAACTACCATGTACTACCATGTACCGAACACTCAGACAATGTGGTCTCCTGATAATGATTTGTAGTTATGCAAGTCGATCTGTCGATCTTACCAACAAAACATTTTTACTCCTATAGTTATTTGATATTTCCTAGGGAATTTCACTTGATTTCTACACCCTTCAACTTTGAATTAAACTGTATATCCTGCAGTGATTTTCCGACCCCTCGATATACTCTTGTTACGTGTCCGCACGTGCGTTTAAACCACCGTGACCCAACCGGCGAACCGTGAAGAATTAAACACACACAAAAACAGTCACGATAATCGCGAAAACGATTTTCTACTTCTGTTCCAAATCCAATTTGCACACTTACAATATATACATGTATATAATATAGCCGAGGCGTATAAATATTCGATTACAAAGTATAACCGTATTATTATGTATGAAATTGTGTTGATTATTGTCCTTGATGGGAAATATATCACGGTACAGCAAGTATATGTACGAGGAGAGAGCCGTTACCACGGATACGGATGACTGTAGATTATATGTAAATAAAATAAACATTTATGATTTAATAGTTTCGTATGCGCATTTCACGTGACGAGATAATATATATTATACAGAAATATTATAAATATTATGTAAGCAACACAACATTATTATCAATATTCATTTTTTTTTTTATATAATTTTAAATAATTAAAACAATACAAATCAGACTACTTGGACTAGTTGTACTATGTATTATAATATACCTCCTACCATTACTTGAATCGACTAATTGAGGAAAAACTAGAAAATATAGTGCACATATAAATATATATTTTAATGTTAATAACGGATCACGCTCCAAACTGTGTCCAGTTGGACTGATGCGTGATTTGCATCATTAATGATTATTTTATATTTCATCATTGATATTTGTAAGGTATTTATTAGGTATACCTGGTATCAAACTTATTTTCATAATTATATAAATATAATAATCATTTTATGGTAAGTTAAAAACCAACATTTAGGTCAGGCTTGAAACCAGTTAGCGGTTTTTACTGAAAACCGGTAATTTCCCGGAAAAGTGGGAACCTCAAATGTGGTTACCATTATTTTAAACACATTTCTATTCCCGGTTATAGGTTAACGTTTACCGATTTTTCAGTTAACATATAACCTAATAATATAACATAATAAGTATTAACCGGGTACCAACTGCCGGACAACCGGTAGGTACTCATGAACTGTAATATGTTTAATTTATTTTGGCTACTTAAGGAGGCTTTCCACTACATACGTTCGCGTGTACGTGCATCAAAATACTAGTCTGTGATTGGTTGGTATACATGGTAAGCTTATGGTATACCACAATGTTTATGCGTTCTTACCACACGATTAACCATGATACCGCGTTGTTGGATCCAGTTCAACAATTTCGTGTACACGGCAGTTTGGTATTGATAACAAATGAAAATTCAAACCATATCAAATTTAAATATAAATTTATTTAATTATTTTCTTTTCGGAAATGGTCATCAAGTTTTGTTATAAAGTCTACTGTCTAGCTTTTCTAAATAGTAAAAAAGTATTTTTGAGATAATTACTTTCAATTTTTTATTTAGAAACATGAATCCATCTAAAATACTAGTGAGTATCAATATTGTTACCTTTTTTTAAACCTTTGCTCTATTATATATATATTATGGCTAAATATATTTAGCCTTGATATATAGAATACTAGCCGATCCCGTGCACTTTGTTGCCCGTTAAATATACCAACTCTATATAACTCAAACTCTGTTCAATTTGTAATTTAATATTCGGTGTATGGTGTTCAAAATGTATCTTAACTTTTCTGTTGCCTGGAATAAAAATTCTGATTCGCAGCAGTATATTATCAGGTAGGCGGTAGATTATATATAGAGATTGAATACTATAGCACGAATGGTGTGACACAATTAATTAAGCAATTAATATCGCAAACATACTGAGCAATTGCGAAGAGCGCAGTGAAGACAGTATTAATTTAATCAATCTATACAAGTATTGTCGCCACTCATAGTCTAGTCTATCAGTATTCAAAGCCAGGTCGTAACACTGCTCATTACTATTTTAGCTTACTATTGTATTTTTGTATTAAAGTATACTAAGTATATTCAATATAACATAATATTTAATTTAACTTTTAAATGAATATAGTCTTCCCAATATATTTCTTCAAATGACGCTTGCAGACATTGGGTTTTATTTCTTCTGTACAAATATAAAACTAATTTTTATAAACGTTGCTTAGTCTTGGCAAGTGTACTATTTTTAATTTGAATTGGGTAACCAATATACTGTATACTAACTGCTCTGCATGTACTGAGTACATTGTACTCTGTACCGGTTGGAAGATGGGAATTTCCTGTAGTCATTGCACTTTAAAATTGAATTTCATTATGCATTTTTAGATTTAACATATACTATTAAAGTATTAACTAAATCACATTTATATTATTTCATTTTATAGGGCTCACTATGCAAAATATGTAAACAGCTGATATACAAAAACGATAAATCACATGTATGTTCAAAAAGTAAGTTAAAGGATTAAGATTGTATTGTAAATTCAAAATTTTTTAATTGTTATCCAGTCAAGTTTTATGGAGACATTTAATATTTTCAGTTTTTTATTTATATTGTTGAAAAAAAATGACTGAATAATAGATTTTAAATTAATATTTTTATTTATCCTGATTTTATCATAATAATAATAACTACCATAGTTATTTAAATTTTTAGCAAGTTCAAAAGAAATCACAACTAAATTGATAGTTCTTCTTGTTGTGGTATTGGATTATTGTGATTTAAGTTTGTCAACCATCTTTTTTAAAATTCTAATTATCAATTAAAATTAAATAACTTGTTTTTACTTCCAGTTGAACCTCAATATTCTTTCCAAAAAATACTACCCAAAGTCCAAAATACAACAAAAAATGTACCAGTGTCTGCAAGTTCCTCATTTTCAAATTTATTGAGGGAAATTGAAATTGAAGAACAAAATGTATCAAGTGTCTCAGAATTTAATATAACAAATGAGAACTTAGTAGAAAGTGAAATTAACGATGATGATGATGCAGAAGATTACTCCAAACTGATTATTGCTGTGCGGGAGCGTCATCCTCTGTGGGATCACAGAATACCGATGTCTAATCGATATGAATCTATTAAACAAAAGTTATGGGATGAGATATACGTAGAATTAAATGGTTAGTTTTTGATAAGCATGATTTGTTATTAAATATTTAGTTGAAAAAATTTACTCTATTATAGGTGCATATTCACTAGATACTATTAAAAAAAAATGGAAATATTTGCGAGAGAAATATGTTCGCCAAAAAAAAAAACCAGCAAGTGGAGCCGGAGGAAAAAAGAAAAATTGGTGTCACACAAATGAATTACAATTTTTGGATGATGTCATTATGAACAATAATAAGTAAGATGAGATTATAATATTATCTACCTACTTGTATATTACTATACAACTGATGTATGTATAATACAAATTGCTGTATATTTATATTTTTTTAGAACAACTAGCAATATAAATTTACCATCTGATGAACCGAGAACTAAGGCATCTAAAAGTATTAAAAACAAAGTGTTCATCTATATTTTTCCCTAACATACATATTGATAATTCCATTATTGTGTTTTTATTTAATCTTCAGGGTCAAATAATGATTCAATTGAAGAATCCATCTTAAATGAACTACGTCAATCAAGACCAATACTACCACTATCAACTGAAAGTAAAGCAGACGAAGACCAACATTTTGGTAACTATTTAGTATCGCTTATAAAAAACATACCTAAAAAAAAGAAAATGGCATTGCAAGCAGAAATAATAAACAGAGTCATTTCCATTATGGCAGAAGACTAAATTATTTATTTTTTATATTAATTTTATATGTAAGTGTTTTGTTTTGAAAAGTTCTAAAATATTAAGTTTATAAAGTCAAAGAAGACTATTGTTAAGTTTTGTTATTATCATGATTTAAATAAGTATTTAATTATTTTGAAATAATAATATTTTATTTTGAGAAGTTGTAATTTTTTTTTAAATACAGTTTTATTACATTAACAAACACCTAATGACACAGTTATTTTTAATTAAAACAATTTATCATATTGGAATTCAACAGCACCATCACTTGAAAAATAATCTTTTAGTTTGTTTCTTATTATCTTGGCATTAGCTGAATAAGTATTAGTACCCAGTTGATTGACAGAAGCCAAAGCACCCATTTCCTGATTATTCATATCGCTATTAGATATTTCTGTATAATAGCGAACACCTACAATATATTATATTATATAATGATAAAAATTAATAAATAAAAATATTATAATACTTAAGAAATAATTACCTGCATTTTGTTCCGACATTTTTATATAATTATGCAGTACAACCGCGGCTTTTGTAATTGCAATAACTGTTTTTTCTCCAGCAACTATGGGTTTTCTAAAAACACGCCACTTAGAAGACATAATACCAAAAGTATTTTCAATAGTGCGTCTGCTTCTAGAAAGCCTGAAAAGGAAAATATTTTAGTTTTATCAGAATAAAATAATATTCAATTTTATTTAATTTGTGAAAATTACCTGTAATTGAAAATAGATTCATTTAATGGTAATCGTTTTTTACCTCTTCCTGGGTATGGCCGCATAAGGTTTTCTAAAAGTGGAAAAGCTTCATCACCTACTGCATAATATGGGATTGGTCCACTTTTATTATCTATTTCTTTTTCAATAGGGAAACTTAAAGTTTTATTCAGAAAACCTTTTCCCATTTCTGAACTTGAAAAAACACCACCATCACTGCACCTTCCTGGTGCACCAATATCTACCACAGTGAAATTGTAACTAGCATCACACATTGCCAAAAGTATGATACTATGCGATCCCTTATAGTTAAAGTTCGTAGAACCAGTGTTTGCGAATGCCTTTAAAATAAACATATATCATGATTCATGAATAATATTAAAAACATAAATCATACCTGATGAACAATATGTTTGCCATCAATACTGCCTAAACAGTTAGGCATTTGCCATTTGTTTTCGAATTCTTTTGCTAATTGTGCCCATTTATTAGTGTCTGGCATAAGTAATACCTGAAATTTAAAGTTATGATTCATTATATAAAATACTAAACCTTATACCATGGATGAAAATATATACTTTCGGGCTTAAAGTATCCCACAGAACAGTACAACATTGTAGTATTAAATTACTAACAGTTGATTGTCCTATACGGAAAGAAAACATTATAGATGTCATCGATTCCCCGGATGCAAGATATCTAGTAATATAAATTATAAACAAGTTAGGTTTATATGCTCATTCATATTATTATATATAATGTGAAAATTAAAGTGATATACAAATTATACTAGATACTAACCTATTCTCATTCAGGCAACTATCTAACAGTGAATAGGCTTAACATAAGACATTAGATATAATTAACTATTATAATTGTGTGACTACCTTAAAGTTGCACTTAAGATTTCTCCAACTGACAATACATCTGGTCGACTAGGAATACGTTTAATTTGTATACCTATTATGCATGTTAGTTCTTCAAATGTAGTTGAAGACATTCTCATAAAATTCTGATAGAGTGCAGAATTTGACAATTGCTGTTCATTTGTCAAACAATGACAATGGCCATGTACTCGCCTCTCTTTCAAAAAGGGTTTAATATACCATCTGGGTTTCGATCTGATAAAAAACATTTTTTTTTTTTTATATAGAAATATAATATTAATAAAAAAATTTTAAAAAAGCTGGGCCAGTGGGTGTCCCTCTGCTGTACAGTAGGTTACAAGTGGGTCACTGTAATGGATGATGTTAAATTTGAATTCGGTGATATAATATTCACAAAAAAAGAATTAATTAATTAAAATTTAAAAAAAAAACACACAACATTGAAAAATGAATACATTCATCGTTCCACTCAGAATCTAAATAAAAACAACCCAATTCTTTCTATATATGTTTCTTACTTTCTTTGGAACTTTTCTACTTTACGGGACATCTTTTTTTTTGGTGGTCATTTTTTGGGTAAAAACAATATTGGTGGAATCAGAATTTGGCGCACGAAGTTAGTTTTGAAGTTATAGCTAATCAAAGTTTTAACTAGAATATACCTGAATTTTAAATGAAGATTCTTTATTACACATGGAATGTCATAGGCTGTATAAAGTACAATTTAGTACAATTTGTTAGTAAATTGTGTACCTATTTACAAGCCTAAGATGGAAATTTACAAAACAAATTTATTTACCTTTGTTTTCTTTTTTTTTTATGTAACATATACAAATATACAAGTAAGACTTTTCTCCTGTGTACTTCTGTATTATAATTATAATAATTATATCCTGCCATTTCTTAAGTTCTTGTAAAAAACTTCTACTAAAAAAAAAATTATTTAGTTTCCCTATTTCGGAATTCCCATTATCAGCTATCAAGACTATCAATAAAGGAAAAAACAATGATATCTATTATCAAAGCAAATATTATGTTACCAAACCAATATGTTACCAATGTAAACCGATGGGAAACGTTTGGGAGACCGTTCATAGCGAACGGGCCTCGCCAATAAATGCACGTACACGCGAACGTATGTAGTGGAAAGCCTCCTTTAAATAATGATAAGCTCGTACCTAATAATAATTGGTTTAGTGTGGTATTTTATTTAACAGTGGTCGTGATGTATGGCATAAAAAATATATCGTCATAAGTCGTGATAGTAACACAGTGAATAGTGATAACGATCGGCAAAAGTATAAACAAAGTCAACCACGGTTCTGGTTACTACAGACCAAACGCTGGATCATGACGTTTGCAATGTTTTGCAACGTTTGCCGCTACAGAATTTCTTCATAGTACCGGTAATAGGTTACACTAACGACAGGACTAGTTTTAAACCAGTGATCGGTATCAACATTTTTTTTGGTTAGGTTTGGCTAGGCATAGGTACCTAGTTCTAAAAAAAAATAAACAGTACTTATTTCGCTGGACGTCCTGCCGAAAAATCGCAGGTACCTATATTTAAAATATATAAACTTGAAAGATTTATCTGACGGGTAGTTAACCGCACTATATATTTTCAAAGTTAATTACACCATATTTTCATTATAAATTGAATTGACACCAACAAGTACGGCCAATTAAGCAAAGTTTTATCAATAGCAATTCGTAGTAATATACTAATGATATAGTATGTTATAATATTATAATTTATAAGAGGTATCTACAATCATAAGACACTGGCTGGACGAGAGCCGTTATTTATATTATGTAGCGTCTATGAGTGAGGAACGTAACATAAACATTATTATATTATACAGAGTGAATATTTTATCGAAAAACACGTCTCACTAATTCAATTTGTATTATAGTTTACGTTTTTAAAAATATTTATTTGCATATTTAATGGTCGTTACAAAAATAAGATATTTTAAAAATAAATAATTATTTTTGACAGTTTTTTATCGTTAAGAAATGTATACTTTTTTGAACGACAACACCTTTTTTAATTTCATTTTAAAAATATTATTCAGAGTACATTGATAAACAAAACCCAAATTTAGGACGATCTAATTTGTGAGATAAGAATGCTTATTACTATTATAACATTTGATTTGTAAATATCAAAATCCTCCGAAATAATATTTTGCTTCAGAATATGCAATTCAAATAGTAAAAACTTAAAAACTATTACAATAAGAATAATGAAAATGTAATTGTATCCAAAAAATGATTGTATTGTAGCAACCTAAAATTATGTAACAAAAATATTACAGAAAACGATAATGGTTTTTGAAATAATACGAGTGTTAGGTATTCGATAAAAAAAAATATCACCTGCGGGAGCATATTATAATAATAATATAATATATATTATATACTGTTATACATTATATAATGTAACAAACGAGAAGACAAAATAATAATAAATAATAATATAACAAAACACTCGATGGGCCTATAGCTAGGTCGTTCGGCCGGGGAAGCGGTGGCGCGGGTGAGCGGGGGCGGTGTCGCGTGCGCCGGCGATAAAAACAATCGCTAAACGAGAAGAAAACACCGTCCCGCGGAAAACGGAGAGGGTGTGCGGCGGCGGGGTTGACGGGGTGTCGTGTGAGGGGTGGGCAACACGAAAAAGTCTAGCGGAGTATTAGCCGCCGCCGGGGCGCATTTGTTTCGCGTGGCGCGCGAACAATAATACGGCGGGCGAGATAAAGACGATTCACGATTTGTACTCGTCGTCGGGCGGGCCATATAAATCAGATGGATAGCCGATATAATACACACATAGAGGCGACGGATGAGGAGACGGAAAGAATGAGAGCGAGAGCCGTTCGCGTGGTGTTATTATTATACTGTGTGTATATATACTATATATATAATATATATTATACATATTTATATGTATTATTCTCTGCGCGCACGCGTCTGCCAGTGGCTTTAAAAATAAAATAGCTTACGACGATTCGTAAGCACAGGGAGGCGAGGTGGCGGGGGTTGGTGGTTAGGTTAAGTGGCGTACATTACGCGCGCGCGAGAAACTATATAATAATATGATATAATATATATACACAGTGCACGCACACACACACACACACACACACACACAAACACACAAAAGCCACCGTGGTGCTGGGAGGAAGTGTACGCGAAGGGTCGTCTCGTCGTCGCGGTCGCCACCGCATTCGTGAGTGGACCGTGGAGGGGAAGGGGGCGACGGTTTTTAAAAGGGTGTGGAAACGCACAGATAAGAAACACAAGAAGCAGTACGTAATATAATAGCGCATGTATATGTATATATATATATATATATATAACGATGCGGTGTGGTATAAGGTTTTATATACCACCACCGTGCTATTACGCACGGCGTCGGTGGAGGGTGTTATAATAATAATAATAATAATAATAATAATAATAATAATAAGCCAACCCACCACCATACCGCGACGCTATCTTTTTTCTTTTCTTTTTTTTCATTTCCGCCATTTTGCACCCTCCACTCATTCCCTTCCACCACTCATCGCAGGGTTATATTATTATTATTTCACCGTTGCTTCTTATGTTTCTATGGTCTTTCTATACCTCTTTCCACAACGCATCAACCCTGCCAACGGCGTTCCTACAGCCACCCCAGTCCGAACCATGTGATTTTTATCTGCCACCGCTAAATTTCTGTATGTACCCGCGTGTGTACAAATACATAGTGGCAGGGGCGTATTTATGGGGGAGGCTGGGTGGGCTGCAGCCCCCCCTGAAATTTTAAGAAAATCCAAAAAATATGAATGCCAATAAAACTTTATTTGTTGGGTAAAAAAGCTTGAAAATTTAATACAAGGCTCCTGCTATATTGTTACAATAGCAATTGAAAAATATTAAAAATCCTTAGTCATAGTTTTTTTATAAGCATTTAAAGTTCGAATCTTGACAAAATACTGAAAGATCACAAAACTTAAAATTTTGCTGAATGTTTTCATTTTTTATACACCAAAAAAATTTGAAAATATTTTGCCTCTTTTTGAGCTATTTACGGACATTGACAGTTTTCATTTTTCTTAGTTTTTTTTCTATAAATATCAATAAAAAATTTTTTGTTGGGTAAAAAGCGTGAAAATTTAACGCAAGGCTCCTGATATTATATTGTAACAATATTAGTTGAAAAATATTAAAAATACATACCTAGGCACAATTTTTTCTTATAATCTTTTAAAGTTCGAATTTTGACAAAATTTATCAAATTTAAAATATAATAAATATTTTGTAATTAAAAATTTATAAAATGTTCAACTTTCATAGTTAAAGATTAAAAATTTAAAACAATGATCCACGTAAATAGGTAAATATATAAATTACTTTATTCACAATAATATCATCAAATATACTTGGTAATATCATAGGCTGACTGACCGTTTTCGCTTAGAATCGTTTTTCTTATACAATGATATTATATCATTGAATTCAAATTTTACACCATCCATTACAGTTACCCACTTGTTACCTACTGTACAGCAGAGCGACATCCACTTACCCACTTTTTAGATTCTGAGCGGAGCAAGGAAGCTAGTGGTTTTACAATGGTGTTTATTTTTTTATTTTTTATTTTTTTTATATCCTGTATACAAAATTTCTACCAGAAGGAGAGCTTTGATTTCAACATATAGTACCTTATCTTTTAGCAAATTGGACCAAGATGGTACTTTAGAGAGGTCATTTTTCGATTTTCTCAATAGTTATTTAATGCCACTGGAAAAAGTACTGAAAAATTACGAAAAACCGCTTAAAATGGGATTTTAATTTCTAAAAATTTGTTTATCACCGTAGCAACGAATAAAAAAATAATAATTAAATAAATAAAATAATTAATGACAATATAAAATATACAGACTGACAAACCGTCTCCGTTCAGAATCGTTTTTCTTATACAATGATATTATATCATTGAATTCAAGTTTAATACAATCCATTAAACAATGACCAACTTGTAACCTACTGTACAGCTGAGCGACATCCACTTACCTGCCTTTTTGTTTATTGTGTGACTATGTTGATAATTTTGTTCAGCCCCTCCCGAAATAAAATTCTGGATACGCGCCTGCATAGTGGCAATCGACGATCGACGGGTAAATTGAATCCTCTGCAACCACCGCCGACGCACGTGGTACTTTCTCTAACCGTGACCACGATATAGGTACCTGTTTTAACTAGATATACCTAGCGCGCAAAAATTCATTTATGCGGCGATCTCTGATTCAGGATGAGATAACAACGAGCACACAGACATTGTGATATCATGATTCCATAAAATAAATTATTCGACTATTGTTATGGTATTTGTTACATTTGGTACCAACTATACCCGGCAGTCAGCATCAAACATTTTAAAAATTAAGTAGACGATTAATATTCACGCATATTTAAATATCATTGATAATAAATAAATTTGATGAATACATATTTATTTATCCGGATTATAAACGCCCGGCGTTAGTAAACAATGTATAGTAAAGAAATATAATGCAATTTAAAACTTAAGACAAATAGTCACTGATAAGTGAATATTTGTGATAGGTAGCGCAAGAATTAGGAATACAAAACTTAATGATCCCAAAGAAAATAAGTTAACAATATCAATCTAGAAAAGACTTTATGTCTGTAAACCTATGAATTCAGGTATTCCCTAAGCTTAAAAATCGGTGGTAACTAACCATGAGTTTTTTTTTTCAGCCCATTTTTCTTGTACAAAAATTATAAGTATAAAATACACACGACAATAAATTAATAAAATAAAATAGGCACATTGTGTGTATTTTTTTATCTACATTCCGTGGCGTAGCCAGGGGGGTTTTTGGGTGTTA